AGTATTGAGTTATGATTTTTCGTTAATTAACAGAGCCTGTATTTGATAAGATTTTTCTCAGAAATATTCTCAATTTTGCCAAATTAAAAAAAAAACGATTAAATAATGATGTTATGTCTTCTAAAATTGATAAGAACTTCAATTGTCTGTAAATTTGGACAAATTGCCAACCAGACAAGATATAACAACTGTCAATATCTCAATTTTATATTAGTTTAAACCAGCGATAAGTTTCATCCGTACAGTGTAAGTAATCCTTGAAGAATTCTGGAACACGTCTATCAAGACATCCAGGCTCAATATACATAACTTTTGAATTCGGTGATGACGTAACATTTTAAGGTTCCCCTCATCCACCATTGTCAGCTACTGTAGATCAGTTAAGAAGCTGAAAACCAAGCTCAGCATGGCATATCCAAGGGAACGTCATCTTCTTCACGTTTCATGTCCCTTATGTGGCTTAAAACATGTGCACGTTTCACGCATTTCCCTTATTCTTTTTTTTTCTTTTTGTCTTTTTTCTTTTTTGAAGCTAAAGCATAATATACATGATACACGCCCCTTGCAACAACTCAGTAGAGCAGAATCAATCAATTGGCAATGTTTTATAATAAAACACAGTGGTGTTATTTTAATTCTATATTTTTGTATATAACAAAATAGTAAATATTTGACGTCTTTCTCGTTGATTATTAATAGCAATTTATTCTCTGACATGTCTAAGATTGTCTAAGATTGTCTAAGTACATTTCTTATAGTATTTTCACAATTCAAAGGACCGTTAGTTGGCACTATTTTAAAGGGGTAGTATGCATAATTTTATTCAAAGAAAGTAACTCGTTAATTATAAGCTTGCTTGATTTAAAAATATACTACTACTATGTAAAATACTTGATCAAAATGAATTTGTCTCTAAAATGGTTAATAAAAGAGTGGGCTCATTATTTACAAATCAGTTAAACTATAGTTTATGGATGTGTATTAAATTCTCGGTATTTTTAGTTGAACCTTCAGAATTTTACAAGACATAATTATTAATCAAATCTTTCAAATAAGGTGAGGGACAATCTCTAGCTATGTGTCAAAAGTTTTCATTAATTCGAGCATCTATAACTTTCACAACCCACCAAAAAATGAGACTACCCCTTTAACATTTGCTTGTATGTGGAACACGCCACAAAATATTAGAATTGTGCACAATTCTAAAGCTGCCAGCTTTGTAAAATATGTAAAATACATTTAGAGAAGATTCACGAATGTGCATTGATTTTTTGTTCAATAAAATGTGTATGCTTACACGAAGTTGAACATTGCCCCAGAGTGTTTTGGTCATGTTTTAAACACGATATTTCTTTAAAGATCATACTATTTCTGATGTTAATCTATAACGCGAGTATACAAAAAAAAAACAACCACATCAATCCTAATCATTCAATGCATTTACAAGAACATCTCTAAATCCAATGACCGCGGTGGCTCAGTGGGTTAGGCGCTTGCTCGCTAACTTGAAGAACCAGGGTTTAATCCCGGCAAAGGTCGCGATAATACCTTCGGATTTTTCAACATTACAAATTCAATCAACCTGAAACACAACAGATCGCTGATATACATAGCATAATTCATTTTGTGTGAGGCATTTTGCACCTTTTGAAATGTCGCTACTTTTCCTCTCTAGTTTTTAAACGCCAATTAATGTTGGCCATTGGCCAATCTTTTTACCATTATTCAAACGGCAAGAGATAGTTACGCGGTCAAACTGTTTCACAAGAGGCCTACACATGAGTGTCAACAGACGATTCCTACATTTACACGCAGGCCCGTAACCACATTTGTTTGTTCGTAGGGGCAAGTAATAAATTAATAAATGCAATAATGCGTGATGTTTAGTAGCAGTATCGGAATTGGTTGGTAGCTTTAAAAGAAAGGGTTTGAATGTCATTGGCATATTGTGACATACGTCATAAGAAAAAAATAGCTGTCATCTAGTTTGCATAGTTTGCTTTGTACTATGGAGCTTTCTGAGGTCAGAGTGCAGGAATCTTTACTTTCCGTGTGCATAAAACCGCTAAAAACATACGACTTCCATTATTTGTTAATAATTCATCTATAATTAGTTTAATCTGAAAATCAATGCAATCTAACGAATTTATTTCACGCAATTCACTTAAGATGAGTTCAATTATTTAGATTATTATAGAAGTAAAGCCACAAGTCATCTGAGTATGATCAAACTGTTCTGGAACCAATTTACTGAAAGGGCATCTTTCTCGTTGAAATCAGTTTGACAATAATTGTCAGTCATTGTGTAAACTAAAACAAATTATAGGTAAGTTCAGGTATTACGGATGTTGTAAGCTAATGACAGATGCAGTGTACCAGAAGGGTGGGCCCTAAAGGACCTTCTTTTGCCGTACATTGTCATTCTTTTAAATCTTACATGATCTACGATAACCATTGCATCATTTTGTCGATCTTTGGATGTGGATTAGTCATGATGCATGATGAGAGTTGAGGAAGACTTTGGTAGATCACTTATCTCAGTTTTCAAAGAATAGGCTATTCTTTTTTATTTACATACGTATGGCCTACGCGTATCTTTATATTAAAAAGAAAACAAGAATAATACAAACAGAGTGTATAATCAAAACAGAAGGTGGTCTTTTTCAAACAATTCAACAAATTATAGATATTTTTACCTTTGTTTAAAGTTTATGTTATTCATGACAAAACTAATTATCGTTAACGAATTTTATGAACCATATAAAAAAACAACAACTAGCTCATATTTTATTTAAATTTCTACAATTTATCGCTTTTTTTTTATTTTGATATTCTCTTGAGTATTTCTAGTAAAACATTCAGGGATCTCTTAGGGATACAATATCGGTCATATAAAACAGCTCATCTGGAAACACAAAACACAATAGAAGGAAACAATAGATTTTGGTGAGTCTCGTCGATTCCCCAAGGACAGTGTATACAAATGAATCAAATATGTATGAAGCGTTGACGAGTATTATGGATTCAGCAACGTATGTATGTATTGCTTTGAATATTTTAAGGTAGGCCATGCTTCTTGAAGCGAAACATTTGAGAAAACCTATTCCTGTTCTATTGAATTCAGTGACTCTCGTATGGTTTTGACCAATCCAAAACCATCAGTTGCCAAAAAAGCGAAGAAGAAAGACGTAATCGACAAGATGTAGATTTGAGAACAGTCGCGTCTAGACGATTAAACATTTGTTCAAAACATCGTCATTCATTTTTAAAACAGTGTTCGTGGACATATGTTTAATCGTCTGCACGTGTCGGCTGTAAATCACTCGGGCCTGCAAAGTCTCATGTTGACCTCTTTTTTCTATTCAGTCTCTCTCCCATTGGCGAACCTCTGCGCACCCCTCTTCAAATTTCGAAAAAGAATTGTGAAAATGATAACTAAAGCAACAGCACTACTTAACAGCCTGCTGTGAGCATAGATGTTTGATTATTTTATTCGACGGCGGTCCGTCCACAATTGCTTGTTCTTAAACACTCTAGAAGGTGCAATTCTTGACAGATGTTGATGAAACGTGGTGTGAGTGTTTGTTATCACCCAAGGAGAAGGTACAATTTTTGACGGATTTAGATGAAACTTGGTGTGAAAATTAGAGGAATCGAAAAATATTTAGTATATGTTATTGCCCTTGTTCTTGAAAATGCGTTCAATTTTTAGCTCGAAAATGCACTAGAAGGTTGAGTTATTGACATATTTTGACGAAACTTGGCGTGAACCTAAGGATGAAAAAATTGAAAAATATTTAGTATGATTTATTGCCCTTGTTCTTAAAAACTTAAAAATTTGAGCCTGTAATTACTCTAGAAGCCCAATTCCTGACAGATTTTGACGAAACTTCATAATATTTTATAGTATCCTCCTAAAAAGTTCACAAGAAGTGTAAGATTGAAGGTTGAATATTTCATACTGTACTGCCGAATATCTTTATTTTTTTCTAGTGGACGTATATTACCTTTTCTGGCAAGCTATCTTAAATAGTATCTCCTCTCCATAATTGGTTTTTACACGGCCATGGACGAGTTTGGACATAGTATGGTCATAAATGACGTGTATAGATAGAAAAATGTTTTTCGTTCCTGAGTAAAAAGATAAAAACAAACAGGTTAGTTTTAGGGATGTTTTTAATCTCGTCGTGAAAACTAGGAAGTGAGATATATAGTCAACAAAATGGAATCGTTTTACAAATGGAAATACAAATGATTTGCGCTCATATAATAGAGTAAAGGGTAGATAAACGAAACTTTTTCTTAATCTGGGCAAACCTACCTACATGAAGAATAATATATTTGTTTGTTTGCGAGTAACAGAACTAGTCTGTGTTGGCCTAGGTGAGGGATAAAAGGTTGATAATGACCCTTAATGGAAAAATTCCAAAGCAATTTTAACATAAAATAGATATCATGAACGATATAAATATTTAAAAAAGTGAATAGAATAAAATGAGATGATTTGTGATGTAATACAGATCAATATTTATCTAATAGAAATAAGTAATATTGTTAGGAAATTGTATGTCAATTATATAAATTTGGTAAGTGTAAATACAACTCGAAACATTGAGAACGTTATTGAAAGAGACAACTATATAGAAAAGGATTTATAAGATCTTTACACTGGGATTGTTGTACAAAGTGCATCAAAATTACAGATATTGAGTATAATATGGTTACACACCGTTATTGATTTAACATTGCTAAATGACTTTAAATAGTAATAACCTTAAGTTATATATTAAATCATGTCTAATGGGAATTAAAGGACCTAAGAGAAAAAGACACATCGATCTCCTGTGACGGAATGTTTTCAGAATAGACTCGAGTAAATATTAGTGTTAATGGCAAACGGAAATTACCAATATTAATGCATGTAAACCAATACGAGAACTAAGAAATATTTATACGTGATTACAGGTTAAGGATAGAGGTATTACTGTGAACCTGCAACAATGACAGACCGCTTTGTGTTAGTAATTATTTTAGGAACATTAGTGACCTTAATACAATCTTTATTACTGGAAATACCAGATACCGGTAAGTACATTTATCATAATCATCAACTTAAATAAGCTTACTCTACCGGCTTTTTGGTTCCTTGGAAAAAAATGTTTTTCTGATTTTTGATTTTCTGGAGTTTAGAAGGACGAATACGTGCATTAATACGCGCACGTTAAATTGAGGCATACAGTATAAAATGTTCTCAAGCCGATTTTGTACAAATTCGTATACATGTAAGCTTTCCTTTTAATTTAGGACATTTAGCCTGACAAATCTGGTCCTGTCAGTTCCTTGAACATGATATACTGGAAGGACATAAAAATGTCAGCATTTTATGCGAGTTGGGCTAAATTTTCTCCTTGACAAAAACCAACGTACCTTTTGGTAACTTTATAAAAACTGAAACATTAAGACAATCTGGCCATTATCGGATATTCTACAATGTCTCTATTCCCGGTACATAAATAGGCTACCGTCCAGCTGTAGGATTTTCATGTAAGTTAAGCAAACCACTGTATGTGAGCTTATAAAAAGTCTAATTTGTACCCATATCGCCATAATGCCCAACCGGAAATTTGCTTTCCTTGATGTATGCACGATATCATGTAGTTTGATAATGCAGAATTTAGATAAAAAAAATATACTGATTCAAAGTTTATTTACAGATTTATACGTTTATTTATTGACACGAAAGTGTATTTTCAGTGGCACAAACATCTGGTTCTAGAACCATCAGACTGTATACAGACAAACGATCATGGAAAGAAGCACAGCAAATTTGTAGAGATAACGGTGGCCTTCTTATTAGCTTGGAAACAGCAGCAAAGCGCGAAATATTTCAGAAATTAAAAACGGAAGATTTCAGCTCGGAGTAAGTAATGTTCTTATATACATAAATAGAATAACTAGAAACAGCCATTGCCTGGTCCCCGTCACTGTGCCTGTATAATGAAATTGTTATAGGTTTCCTAGTTTCAAAACAAGATTTGAACGTGGAATGCATTTCCAACTATTGCTGGGTTATATTTAACGACTATTACTGCATCACTTTATACCGACTATATCTTCACATTTTCTCCCAATTTTCAGTTATGATAGACCATGGGTTGGTTTGTATTGGACAAATGATCAAACATTACATTGGGACGGACTGACAGCATGTCCCGCCCCCGCAGCACAAGATGTAGATAATTATAATTTTAAAGCGGATGGAGAAAGAAATTTTAAAAATGGTGAAAGATGCTACAGAGAGAATAATGGTCTAGAGTTACGGGGCTGTGGGGGGAGTAATATGTTTGTCTGTGAATTCTTTGCAGGTAAATTATTTATAATGACTATAATAGTCTCATTTTCTTACATAAATAATTAAGGTGCAGAGCGTGGAATAAAAAATTCAAATCAGATTTGAAAATTTATTATCTTTATTTGTTCTGTCATCTTATCTTCAAATATACTCTTAAATTTAAATACTTTTAAATTGCCTCATCCCTGTCAAAATATATATTACCCAATCCTACATAGTATTAGTCTGTTTTAAACAAATTTGGCATAATGTTAATTTAATATGTTGAGAACATTTTTGGATATGTAGCCACGTAAAATTCCACCTAGGTGAGACGCCATTTTGTGTTTCAAAATGGAGACCATCAAAAATCTATAATTGTCAATATTTCTGGATCTATGTCAGCTATAAACTCGTTCTTGGTGTCTAATCGTACATTTTGGGGGGTTAAGGAATACGATGATTCAAGTTTCAAGTGGCTACAACCGCTACCATGTTGAATTTCAAAATGGCGACCATCAGAAATTTATAATTGTCAATATTTCTGAATCTGTGTCAGCTATAAACCCGTTGGTGTCTAATTGTACATTTTGGGGGCCAATGAATACAATGAATTATGTTTCAAGTAGCTGTAACTGCCACCATGTTGAATTTCAAAGTGGTGACCATCAAAAATCAATAGTGTCAATATTTCTCGGTCTAGGTCTAAACCCGTTTTTATATAATGATGAAGTTGTAAGTGGTCACTGTTGCCATGTTGAATTTCAAAATGTCGAGTAAAATATAGGTGCTTTACCTAATATTTTGTTATTCTTGACATCAAAGCGATAAAGGAGAGTGATGCCCCAATTACATGTTTTTCAAGTTACTTTTGATGGGGATGGAGAACCATTTTCAAGATTAGAGTACTGTCCTGTTGGTTCCACATTTATTGAGTGAAACAGCAGCCAAGACTGTAAAAATGTCCTCAAAATTTGCAAAAAAAACTTTGCAATGGAGCGTTCGGTCGAAAGATCAAAGCTACTCAGTGATATTATCAAGCATCGAAGAATACAATGATTCAAGAAGCTACAGTTGCTACCATGTTTGATTTCAGAATGACAACCATCGAAAATCAAATTTTTGGAACAGAATCCCATGATTTACTGTTGCCAGGTTTAATTTAAAGAAACTCAAATCTGGGTGCCTATAGGGGTTATAACCTATTACTTTGTATTTAAGCTTGAAAATAAATCTAATTTTGAAAATGGTTATCCATCCCCATCAAAACACTACCGTACGCAGAAGTAACTTAATTTACTGTTTAACATTGCAACAGTGACCACTTATTAGTTGAATCATAGGATATGATCTTCATTCAAAATATACAAGAACTAGATCAGAAATATAGATACCTATAGATTTTTGATGGTCACCACTTCGAAGTTTCAGTTTCAGTTTCAGCCACCAGTTTACTTAATTCATTGTATTCCTTGACCCCTAAAATGTACAATATTAGCCACCAAGAACGGGTTTATAGCTGACATAGATCCAGAAATATTGACAATTATAGATTTTTGATAGTCGCCATTTTGAAAAGGGAAATTTAATGTGGCTCCATATCTTCAAAAATGTTCACAGTATATTTAAGTAACTTTATGCCAAATTCGGTGCTTGTATTACAAAATGAACAATACTTTCATATGGGGTCTATGCCGCTGGACAATTATTTGTCCGTTATTGTTTTTATACATAGCGTAATTTTTATCCCAAATCCTTGAAACAATGTTAGTACTGATATAGCAACGAAAAAACAAAACCAATCGAAAGAACTTTTAACATATCGAAAGTCTTTTTTAAGCAAAATTTTTTTTCAGCTGATGGCTGCCCATATGTGAAACAAAATATACCACTAGCTTACGGTTCCCAGGTTTACACTGGTGTACCATCACTGGACGATTGTCAAGCCGAATGCAGCAATAATAATGGGTGTTTTTTAGCTGGAACAGTTTTAACAAGATGCATTTTGATGTATTCTGTGGATTCAGCAAATACTTCTGTCGTTGTTAAGAATTGCGCCTCAGGTAAACATTTATTCACTTTGTTGGATATTTTATTTTGGTTGCACCAACACTATCTAACAGAAAACATCTTTTGATGAAATAAATCAGAATAAGCTTAATAATCCTTTTGAAGGGGTTGATAATTTGATCAATCCTTGATACTCTAAATAACTCTACTGATCTACTCTTTTAATCTGTCGAGTTAATCGCTTGCTTGTTTTTATACGAAGCTGGAAGGCGTATCCCATGTCAGTGATACATTGTCCATTCGAATAGAATAATAAACCAGAGCCCGGGTTTGCACGTTCTATAGGCTTATATCTCAATAATCTGAAATTTGAAAGTACTAGAAATGGTGAAAGTTCGATTTGCCAGTCCATCATAACCCAATCAGAATCAGCAAAATCGGATGTAAAACATCATTTCATTTTTTTTATATATTATTTTAACTGATTTAAAACTGAAGGGCAATGTTTAGTATTCAAATAATGTACAGTCAATAGAACTTTTTATGTCTTTTCTTTAGGCTCTTCAATTGAAACGTCAATAATAGGTGGTATTACTGCTGATACTACTAATCCAGATGAATGTGTGATAAATCCCACTACAGCTGCAACTACAACACCAGTCCCGCGTATGTTAAGCTTAATCACTTACTACAACGTTGTTATCAATGTGATATTTTATTTATTTTCTTCTTGAAAATCAAGTTCATTCGAATACTAAGACATCATTTATCCAGTTAACTAACCAATCATAACAGAAAGTAAAGTCTGGTTTAAAGGCAAGAATAACAAATAATCCCTCCCCAACAACAATGGCTACAATGGCTTAAACAGGCCAACAAATGCATATATATCATCGTGCAATACCAAATTAAATCTTCAAATCTGGGATGGCCAGTACCAGATATGTTATAACTATACAACTAGAGAATAATTGATCTCTGAATAAAAAGTTTTTATAATTCTCGACCGTTCACCTTTGCTACTTCACACTTCGTGAGTATTCTGCAGAGAGAATATAAAAGAATGTGTATTTTATCAATATTTTTAGCTCCTGCATGCCCAGAAGAAACAGTTACAGAAACAAGCACTGAAACGAGTACTGAAACAACGACCGATACGTCAACAGAAACCTCCACGTTTACAGAACACTTTACTGAGACTTCTACAGAAACGTATACAGAAACATCGACAGAGTTTATGACTGAAACAACTACTGAATCTTACACCGAAACTCAAACAGAAACTGTAACAGAAACATCAACCATTACCAATGGTGCTACTACAGTATATGAAGTGAGCAGTATAATAATCTCTGACGTTTCCACTGCAGTAATAACGGTAACAGAATCGCCATCTTGTGAAGTAACATGTTCTTCTTCAGAAATTATTGAGTCAAGTCCAGAATATAGCACTTCCTCGACAGTTTATGTGCATTTTTCTAGCAGTCTATCAGCCAGCGACGATGAAAGTGATAGTTCCATAACAACTTCGTCCACATTTGGAGGATTTTTAGCTTCGGACGGAACATTGCGTACACAAGTTTGTCGCGACATAATATATGTCACCCATGATCCTGCACAAACTCAAGCTGCTGTCAACAGCATAGTGAATGAATTAACAGTGGAAAAGGGTAATTTGACTGCCGTAGTGATTAAAAAAATAAGTGCAGATGACGAGCGTCCGTCCTCAACAGTGATTGGTTATGCCGGAGTAGTATTTTTAGTAATACCCATTGTGTTAATGATAATAGTAGATGTACCAACATATTACATTGCGGCTCAAGCTGCTGTCAAATTTTGCAAAACCAACAATCATTAAATAAGCTTAAGTTTATGAAACAATTTTGTATCATAGAATCAAACAAAATTATATTGGACATAATTTTCGACCGAAATAAGCAGTTCATGTGCCCCACTCTCCAATAATGCCTATATATACGTTATCAGGAAACATGGCGACTTAAAAATAATATAATGCATAATAATATACTACCAACTAGTGTAACTCACCTACGTTTTTCATTGAGCGTTTCACAATAAATAAGCCTAAATGTTCTTTACATTTTAAATTTCCTCATTCCGTTGAATTTTTTGTCATTTATGACTCTATTTCTATGACCGTTAAGTTAAAATTGCTTCGAATAAGATAAACATGTCAAATACAATTTCAGGCTAACCTATTTTACTTGATTAGCAAAAATTTATTATAAGTGTTTCAGACTGCTAATCAATTGTCGCGAGTTATTTTATTCCCTGCCATAACCTATGAAAATAACAAGATTCTAATTTTAGTTGCCTATGTATTCCTATCATAATTATCTAAGCGACACAACATAACATACACTTGTTTGGGACCTGGTATTTGGCATTTTCAAAAGATTTAACCAATATTTTTAACATGATAAAGTGTCTGATATGGACATACCTACCACATTCTCCTAAGGCACCACAGGTAAAACTTGAGTTGTTAATCCCTAAAATAATTTTGCAAAAAGTCTTTTCGATATTCAAATTCCCAAACATGGGAGCCACATTATAGAATTTGCCTTTTGACTGCATCACATATTCTAAAAGACACCTAAACTTGTGGATTGTTTTCCTCAACAAGATTACAACGGGGATCATTGCCTTTTCAGCTTTGAGGCTACACATTGCTGTACTCTAACAATATCTGGAGGAGAGTAAAATGCCAAGATAATTGTAATAAGTCACATCTTCAAGGTTACGATTATTGAAATACAATAATTTTTAATTATTCCTCATTCCGGAAAATTATAACCTTTGTTTCCCTGTGTTAACAGACAAATTAAAGTTTTTATAAATTAATTCAAGTATATGAATTTTTCTTCGCCAATCTTCTACTGTGTCAGAGACAATTCCTAAATCATTTGCATGAAGGAGCATAAGAATATCTTTAACATCTTGTAAAAATGCTTTTGACATTACCCACTCTCATAATTGAAACTAACTGACTGATATACAGACAAAAAGCAGCGGGCTTAATATACAACCTTGTCGTACACCAGATAAACACTGAGAAAATTTGAACCTATCTTTACAAATGAGAAGACTGAATATACATAGGAAACGTTAAGCATGTTACCACAAACACCATTTTTGCAGAGAAATTATGCAATTTACTCCAGATAATACTGTCAAAGGCCCTGGAAAAATCAACAAATAAACAGTAAAATATTTTATTCATAAGAGAAATGGATTAGGGAACAGGCTTTCGCCTATATGACCCAATTTAGATTAAATATAATATGATATATTCAATATGATATATATAGAGATTAGGGTGATTGAAGAGTAACCACTTACTATTCAATATAAAGCACTGGCACAGGGTTAAAGTTATGTTTACAATAATTGTGATGCTAATATGCAGTGAACTAAATCAAAGAAGATCTTAACGGTTATCCTATAAATCTTCTTGGACCTAATAAAGAAATTCATAATACTTATATTCTACATTTACGGAAATAACATTATTGGGACAATTGCCTGTGGAAAATACAGAATCATAAAAACTTTTCTGGAATAATGAAGAAAAGCGATTAATGGCGAGGGGAAGTTGTGTATTGATAAGAGTCTAACTGGTTGGTTAATAAAGACATTGTTCAAACAGTTTGCCTTGTCCATTGGAGTAAAGGATGGGACGCCATTATGAAGTAAGGGTGGTATATCGTTTTTGGATTGTCCTTGCTTTTTCACATAAGAGTTGAGAAGATTCCAGCAATCTTTAGAACCAAAGTTTTCTTTTTCATTTCTTGTGTTATCAATTTTCTTAAAATATTCTTTTTCGAATCAGTTTGGTATAAGCTTACTTGTTTCTTATTGTCCTAAAATATTTCCAATCAGTTTCAGAATTCGCTCTGACTGCTTTTCGATAAATCTTCCCCTTTTCTTAGACAGATATTTTTGTGTTAAACTATATAACGTGAATATATGATCAACAGTTGAATACCCCCTCCTATATCCTGCTTGGGCATCAATATACTTGTCTTCTTGTCCACACTAATTTTGTATAGAGCACAGCTGAATAAAGCTTACCCACATAGTCAAGGAGGGAAATACACCGATGCACTGGAAAGCAACCGTCCTGGAATATTTTATTGTTTATATTGTTAACAAAGGTAATAACCTCGTCAAAGATTCTTTACAAAAATCTATGCCGATACCATTAGGGCCCGGTGCTGTTTCAGATTTCATTTGAACGGCACATTCCTCACTTCTCCTTCTGTTATAGATATATTCAGTGAGTTCATATTTAAAATGTTTTCGTTAGTTTTAAGTAATCAATAATGTTATCGGGGCCTACTGATGGTTCGTCTGCCAATGACTGATTGTTAGGATTTAAAATAGACGGAAAATGATTGATCAAACACAAGGTTTTATTGACTGACATAAATTGGACTTGGGTCTAAAATGTTTTACAGTGCTCCAGAAATTTGCTTTGTCTGTGACAGAACGGTCATAGGCCTATGAATTCCCTTTTCTTACTATCATGACAGTCTTTTACAGCTTATAGATCAAGATGAGTAGTACAATTACAACATGTTGTTTAGAAATTTCAATTTTTCTGTTTAAAGTGCATTTAATTCTTTATCAAACCATGGAGGCTGTTTTAATGTAGGCTAATAAGCTTACTTGAATGTCTGCTATGTCCCAATGTCATTTGAGTGGCAAATGTCTTAACAAAATCAGTAGGCTAAGAATGTTGACTGCACAGTCAATATTTTGGTTTACGGTACTTCTTTAAAAAAATTGATAGTGTATTTATCATATCATTTTGATACATTTCAACAAATTGATCTCTAAAGCCTAAAAGCCTACTTATCTTGCCATCCTAACCTTGATTAAGATAATAAAACTTCACCTTCACTGGCTTCCCACACAGAAGACTTTCACATTTCTTGTATTATTGGAGTTTGAAAAAGAAGCGATTTGATTGGATTGTAGGCTATGCTAGCGAATGCTACCAACCAAAAGCTTCCACAGAAAGTCTATGAACACTAAAGACATTATGTAGCCTAAACATCCTTTCCTTCTGTCGCCAGTGTCGTGGGCTCTGATTGGCTGTAAGCCTATTCTCTGGCATGCAATCTAATCAAATCGCTGTACAACTCTTGAATGTTTCAAGACTTTGTGCAATAAAAAATTAATGCAATTCCCTTCCCAATATAATAGTTGTACTTACTTACCCTAATTAGGCCTACTACCATGGATCTTTAGGTAGACTCTAGAACCAAACAGCTGCACAAAATTTATTTTTATCTCAAATGACGTCATCTGTAGTAACGATGACGTTGGAAGTTTCAGTGGACTCATAGGGATTTTTAAAGGAATAAATTAGAATGAACATAAAATTTAAGAATTTTAAACTTGGCCAATAAGAGCATATTATATTCATCAGTAGATATACCCATCTCATAAATAATATAACAGGATCTTTTGGGTCCCCACGTCATGACGTTACGGCGTTATAAACTCTCTAAATGAAACCAAAGCCCTACATTATATATAGGCTAAGGCTTTGACTGCAACTAGAAAGTGAAGGCCTACTAGGTCGCCGACAAACATGACGAAACCGCTTATAATAGATCCAAAATATTTTCAAATTATAAAGTGGTCCCTCTCGTAGCCTAAATCGAAAATTCTACAAAGTGCGCTTCCATGGTGCATCCGACGCTACATTTACTGATATATAGCGTTTCGTTTGAGAACTAATTGCTTGGTCTTGGGGTTCTGCAAAATAGAGCAACACTTTAAAGTCAAGGCAGGGGCGCAGAGGGAGTGCAATATATTGTGTTTGCTTATTTTTTTCTCGCATTTTCGGCGACCTTGTTCATTTGTAGTCGACAAATAATATCAAATAGCCACAGTCCAGTGTGAGGAGGGGTATCAGTATCATAGGTAAGGTCGAAACGCATTTGCGACAGACAAATCGGTCAACGCGAAATATCACACAGCCACAAAACACGAACCAGCAGAACGTATGGTGCACGAAATAAGCTCGGATATGAGCTCGAAAACAAGTGTAGCCCATTCGGAGGAATTCTATTACTCTTACGAAATAAGAGACAGCTTGGAGAGTAGGCCTACTATTGTTTGCCATCGAATTAAATGGCGGAAAATTCCAAAATTTCATGAAGTGATTGGATACGTGAATAGCCTACTGCGTCCAAGCGAAATTCCACCGCAGCCCTGAAAATATCCCATGTTTTCGATTCTATGGAACTCTTATCATTATAATCTTTCAAATTAATCATTATATTGAAAACTTATATAAGGCTTTGAGCTGACAGCCTTTGATGGAGCTTGGGACCCAAAATGGAGTCTGTAGACATTTAACCATAGAACTGTATAATATGATTTAACGTCATATTTTCATGACGTCATAAGAAATCTCTTGCTTCAGAGTTGTCGCAACCACCATGTAACCCTATATAATTATCTTACTATGGTCGAAACTTATATACATGCTCTTTAAACCTTGGATTTCGGGGAAGGGAGGGTTTGATTCTCCCAAATGTACAGGCCTAGGATGAAGTAGACACTTTGTTTAGAAATTGGGTGAGATCGGCTATTGAACGGTCGTCGATGTTGAAATGATTAGAAACAGGCTTGTCTTTCTTTAATTTGATATCCGACCTATGAGCATTAAAACGAGTTCGTAAATTATTCTTAGTTTCTCCTACATATTGCTTGGGGCATTTCTTGCATGAAATTAAATATATTACATTCAAATGTTCGCATGTTAGATGTTCCTGGATCGGATACCTTTTATTCGTAGAGTTGCTTACAAAATAATGA